ACAGATGAATAGGAGTTTTCCCAGTGTTGCAATGGAAAAAGGACATTTGGAGCAAAGAGAACAGCATGTGAAAGACTGAAAGCCGTGAACGGGCACACCATTTGTGGGGAGCAAGAGCACCTGAAGCTTGGGCTGGTAGAGGGTGGTGACAGAGGAGGTGACCTAAGGAATTTAGGTCCAGTTTGGGAAGGACTTCACTTAAGGAGCTCTAGCTAAAGAGAAGTGACTATTATCATTCCGGCAAAAGATGCTTGAGTCCCAAACTCAGACAGTAGCCATAAGGGTGGAGAGAAGAAAGGCGGATTCAAGATCCATGTGTTAGATAGAATTTGCAGGATGGACTGTACGGAGGAGGGGCCCTGAGGAGGACGGAATAATTGAGGATGACTCTGAGGTTTCTGGTTTTGGAGATCGACTGGAAAGCGTCATCAATAACCAAGATTGAGGATGTCAGAGGAGGAGCAGGTTCCGGAGGAGGTTAGATAAATAACAGCAAGGGGCAGATCTCCCATCGGCTTCAAGGACGTTACTCTGCCTGTGCCTCGGAATGAACATCAACTCTGCAGTGCCCTTGAATGACTCCCTCTAATGTCACCTCTTAGCCAGGACATTGGAGAGTTCCCAACAGACTTCAGGACCCTTCCTTTGACTGCAGGCTGGGGCTTCCCTGGGTCATTTTGGGTGTTATGGTGAGAAAGCACAGAATAGAGGCTAAGAGCATACCCGCTGGGACCAGGCAGCCCTGGGTTCAAATCTTACCCCCAGCACCACCACCACCACTAATGAACTATAATTCTAGGCAGTTAATCTCTCTTAAGCTTCAGTTATTATCTATAAAATTGATATACTAATTGTCTCCCTTTCATAGGGTACCAGGAGATAAAATGAGTTAATGTATGTAAGAGATGCAGAATAGTACCAGGCACATAGTAAGAACTCACAAAGGGACGTTGTTATTGATATTAGTAGACTTTTTTATTTTTGGCATGGAGAACTTTTCGGCAGATGAGGACCAATTTCCTACAGCTCCCGAAGCCTAGGCTTCTTTCAGAAGATCCCACTAAGGTTGACACAACGCATACATAGAGCCTATCCTTTAGACATACAGACCAGGCTCCTGGCCACTGTCAGCAGGATGTGCATATAGCCACATTCCTGGATGCCAAGGATTTGTCATGATTGCTCATGGGTCTCTGACCAGGTCCCCCGTCCTGGAGAGGATGCTGGTCAGGGTCAGGACACACAGCAAGACTGTCTGACCTGCAGGCTGAGGCCTCCTGGGCACTGTGCTCCAGCCAGCTGAGCCAACTCCTCTGCTGAATGCCAGGGAGCGTGTCCTTACTTCTCCGAGTCCTGGTCTTCTCTGTAGGTCTCTTGTGTGATGTCCAGACTGTTTGGCTTCAACCCAGGGAACAGGTACTCTAAGGCTGTGCTGTCTAAGCCCAAAATTACGGAGCAGCCGACAATGCCCTCGAGCAGGGCCAGGCATCAGTTCTGCCCTGGCTGTGGCCACTGTGCTGATAGCGGTGATCTCCCATGGGACTGTATTAGGAAGAAATCTTCTCTTGCCCATTCCAGAATCTGCATGTTGGGGGCCAGAGGAGCTGCTAAAGACACATGGCTTAGAGTCAGAAAAAGGCTCACCCTCTAAGCTGCCTCCATCCACTTCTCCATCGTCAACCCTACAGAATTCCTTCTGGGCTAGTTTTACTAAGGAAGCAAGTTTTAATCAGAGTGCTGAAGAAAGGGAGAGCAGAGATCAAGCAGACACAGGAGAAGGACCACGGGTTTTGGAGTCAAAAGACACTGGTTTGAGGCCCAGCTCTGCTGTTTACGAACTGTGTGAGCCGGACATGCTATTAAACTCCCAGAGTTGCTATTTTCTCATCTGAAAGTGGAAACAGCAAGATCCTCTTCTACAGAGCAGTACTGCGAGAATCAGGTAAGATAACGTAAATAAACAAGCTGCTTTGTTAGCCCGATTTTATTAATACCAAAATACATGCAGTTCAACTTTTGTACCTACTTAAACATATTACAGTCCCAGGATAATGCTTAGAAAAGCTCCCTCCTGATCTTTTCTTCCGTGTGCCTGCAAAACCAGCCTCCCTGACCCCATCTCCACATGCCCACATATAACCCATTCTTCAAAGTCCAGCTCTAGAGTCAACTCCTCTATGACCTCCCCTCCCCCTATACACACCACACCTGGAAGAGATCCCTTCCCCTCTCTAGAAATTCCCACTGCAATTTCCCAGGTCACCTCTCCTGGGGGTCGATATTTTTTTTACCTTGCGTTACAACTGTTTATGAACTATAAGTTCCTGTCCAGTCACAAACGCTGTCAGGATTGCAAGCTCCTTGAGGATGGGATTTGTGGCTGGTTTATCTTGAAGTCCCCTAGGGTGCTTGACATAAGGTGAGCACTACGAAATAATATCCAGTGAATAGGAAAATTCATGCCCGGTGCCTTAACTGCCACGATCCATCATTCCATCAGTTTTCCTCTTCTCCGGATCCACCTCAGGACAGGAGGCAGCCCCACTTCTGCCTCACACCATTTCCTGTGCCCTCCTGCTCCCAGGGTAATTATAGTTTCCGTCATAAGGTTTCTGGAGGTCCTTTCTGATGATAATTACAGGAGAAATGGATAAGAAAGTTACAAGAATATTCAGTATCCATCTTCCACTTGGCGGCCCCTGAGAGCTATGAACTCACATCCAAAACTGAACTCCTCAAGCTTTTTCCTCTACATCTCCCACCTGCCACCTGCTCCTTCTGCTCGTTTCCCAGCTCTGTGGGAAGCTGACACAGGATTCTGTGTGTGTGTGTGTGTTTCATTTAGATGAGATTTTGGACTTAGCGTTAATGCTGGAATGTTAAGACTTTTGCAGGTGTTTGGGTAAGGTGAATGTATTTTTCATGCAAGAAAGACATGAATTTGGGGGGCCAGAAGGTGGACTGTTATGGGTCGACTTGTGTCTCCCAAAAAAGACATGTTAAAGTTCCAACCCCCAGAACCTCTGCAGTGACCTTATCTGCAAATAGGGTCATTGCAGATGTAATTAGTTAAGACAAGGTCATACTGAAATAGGGTGGGCCCCTAATCCAATAAGAGTGATGCCCTTAAAAGAAGAAGAGAAATACACAGGGAGGAGACTGCTGTGTGACAACAGAGGCAGAGATTGGAGTAACGCACTACAAGTCGAGGAATGCTAAGGATTTCTGGCAAACTCCAGAAGCCAGAAGAGCAAGGAAGGATTCTTCTCTACAGATTCCAGAAGAAGCGCAGCCTTTCCAACACTTTGATGTTTGGATTTCAAGCCCCTGGAACTCAAACAGTAAATTTCTATTGTTTTAAGCCACGCGGTTTATGGCACTTTTTTACAGCACCTGTAGGAAACCAACACACCCACCGTCCTTCCAGCCACTGGAGAGCGACGTAGCCTCCTCACTCTTTTCAGGCCCCGTAGCCAGTCCATCACAGCAACGCCCTCTCCCTCCTGCCTCTCCCATCTGCCTTCTCTGACTTATTCCAACCATCACACCCTTCATTCAGTCTTTTCTCTCTTTATATCTGGATTATCACAAGGCCTTCAAGTGAATATTTCTGCTACAGGTTCCACCAGGTAAGTGCTCTTCCAATCTTGTCATCCATACTGCTGCTGGAGAGTGCTTTCCAAAATATCAGTATGGTCATGGTTTCCCCCAATTAAAACCCAGTAATGCCTCCTCTCAGTGTTCAGGACGTTGATAAAAGTGTGCAAGCATCTCTGCTCAGCTCAAGACCCTTCACGATGAGGGTGCAGCCATCACCCTGGAATCACGTCCTGCCCCCATGCTCACAGGCACCCTTTGTCCCAAGCCTAGTGGAATATTCCAACATGCAATGACCTTGTCCATCTAAAGATCTTCCCAAACTATCGCCCCTGCCTTCAACCTGGCTCCTCTTCTTTGCCTAACCCACTTTTATTCTTACTTCAAAATGAGCTCAGGCCTCACCTCCATCAGGAAGTCTTCTCTGAGCCATCCCCCTGCCCCTCTCTGCACCTCCATAGGAGTCACCTTGACCCAGCACATTTCTACCACTAGACTGAGCTCTTTTGGTGCAGGAACCGTCTCTGCTACTTCTATCACCAGAGCCGACATGGTCACAGAGCAGGTGCCCAACAAACACTTATTTCATTTTATTTTATTTATTTATTGACTTTCCACTATTGTTTTGGGTCAGCCATTTGCTAAGAACTTGCATTGATTCCTTTCCTCTTCCCACCAATCCTATCCATTTAGCATCATTATCTTCCCATCGTGACTAAGGAGGCTGAGAGATGGAATAACTGCCCGGCACACACGTAGAAAGTGGCAGTGGAGAAGGTCTAGGCCAGGCATCCAGACCCCCCTACACTGCCAGAATGAATGCAGGGAGGAGCCAGTGGACAGCACAGAAGATTCACAATTAAAAGTTATTCCCCGCAGGTCATCAGAATGCAGATGGAGACCTTCCTAGTTCCACTTACCACTCAAGATCCTCTTGCTTCTTGTCTAGAGAGAGACGGAGAGCCATCCTCCCACAGTCGAGGGAGTTATGGTCCTCATCCGTCACACCCAGCTATGTGTGTTTGTGTCAGGAGACGGGAAGAATGAACACAAATGTTATGAACACGAGCAGAGGCAAATGAGGAGCTATTTTATCTCCTCAGCACAGAACGGAAAACTGGAGCCAGGGCTGCCCTCGGAGCCTTATTTACAGTGTGTGGTGGTAAACAGAGTCCTGAGCAGGGAGGCACCCTCCTCACACACACCCCCCGACCCATGCCTTGTTGGAGGCAAAGACAGATTGCAAACACAAGCTGCTCAGAGAGAGATAAATCAATTTTCATCAGAGCAGCACCTCCGACACCACTCTGACAAATCAATATATTTCTCCATGATGGAGTCACTAAAGCCGCAAACAGGCCACCGGGAAACACAGAGCAGCCCCATAAAGAATATCGCCAAGTAATAGAATAGCCAAATCTGAATTTCAATTATCCACCTTCAAGGGCACATGAACATCCTCAGGAGGGGAGTCCATGCAAAATTCATGGGGCCTGGCTTCACTGCCCCCCCCGCCCCCCGGGGTCAACAGTTCTGTGGGCTTCCAGGGTTCCCACTGCTCCAAAGCTGGCAGAAGGTGAGTCTCACCCAGCCTGTCAAAAGAACCTAGAATCTCCCGAAGGTGGCTGTCTCCAAGGGAGACGGGAAGCTCTGGGCAGACGATCTTCCCCGTTAAGATAGTCCCTGCTGGCCCGGGAACTGGGGAGAGCATTCACACTTGCCTGGACGCATCCTAGTCAGTGACCTAGACTGAGCTACTGACACCAAGCCGAGCTGGTGCCATCACCCAGAAACCCAGTGGGAACCCACCTAGGCCAGGCGGGAGGAAGTCTCTTCAGGTCTGCCGGTAATGCCACGCGCTGATGCTCACCTCCTGCCTTCCCTTTGTGGACTCTCAGAGAGCAGGAGGTCTCTGGGTACTGGGTACTGCCCAGGCAGAGGGATGTCCCTGGGAGTCACCTTGGTCATGCACTGCCTCTCACACAGATCTTTGAGTCATCATGACAGTGACAACAGCCACACAGGTAGTGTATTGGCTAAGACCCCAGAGCTGACAGCCAGACAGTCTAGATCTGAACCCAGGAGCTGCTACATGTAACCCATGTGGTCTTGGAAGCCTCAGCTTCCCTATCTACGATGTGGAGCAATGGCATCCTGCCTCCCGGGACTGTTGTCCCCACAGCCTGGACTGAAGGCGTGACCTGGGCGAGGGGTCGTTCCAAGTTCTTTGTGAGTATTAAGTCAAGTCATCTTCCCAACGACCTGGTGACATTGCTATTATTTTTCTTGCAATTGTAAGGATGAGGAAGTTGAGACACAGAGGTTAAGTAAAAGAAATAATACATGGAAAGTGCTGAACAGGATGCCCAGCACCTTGTAGAAGCTCGATGAGTATTATATCACCTGCTATTACCACAATATTTAATAGACTTTCTAAGCAGTTTAAAAGCTGCTTCATGCACCTAAGCATCATTGATCTGTACAATAGCATGTTCAAACTTCAGGTTACTACAAGAGTCTCTTGACGCCCGTAGTCTAAGTGGTCTCTTGACCCCTCCAACTCTTGTTCCTTCGTGCTGCTAGGCAGAGCTTTCTGAAACACAATCGTGTTCTAGAACACTATTCTAAGTGACATCCCTTCCCTATTTCTGTGCCTTCAATGGATTCCCCATTCTCTCTTTTTTGATAAAGTACAAACCTCTTAACTCTGTGGCCAAAGAGCCCCTGAATCTGACCTTGGTTTGCCTGGCCAGCCTCGTCCCCACTGCTCCCGAGGTCACGGGTTACACAGCAATTAATTAATCCGCGGGGATAAGTCCTGTTCCCTCTCATGTTGGGACTTCCACCTGTGTCACCTCCTCTGCTCATCATGCCTTTCCTTCCCGATTCTGGAAAACACCTTCCCTTCCTCATAGAGTCACCTCCTCTGCAGAGCCTCCCCCCACCCAAGGGCACATCCGTACCCCTGTTCCTCAGCGTCCCCACTGAGCCTTACGAGCCCTCATCACAGCCCTCGTGGTGCACCACTGCCTGTGTCTGTCCACTGCTGCCTCCTCTGTCAGGAGGGCCGCTGGACGGCCAGGCCCAGCCGTTAGTACGTCCCAGGTACCCACACGGGTCCCGGCACACAGCAGATGCTCTGTGTGCATGTGTGTGTGTGTGTATTTTATATTGTTTTTATTTTGAATTATGGTTGGGTGGGGATAATGAGACACCAGAATCTTGTCCTTCACCAGGAGACAACTACAGGTCTAATGCAGTCCTGGGGACCACGCCAACTCAACAGAGCCCACTCTGGCTGGTTGAACCAGAAAAGGAATCTAGTAAAGAATGTCAGACAGCTCGTGAAATCTCCAGGAGACCAGAGAACCAATCTCGGAAGGGAGCAGCCTGAGATAACACTCAAATTACGGTGCCTGGCTGCTCCCATGAGATGGCTGCCACTGCCACATCTGGGTAAGGACACCTCGGCTCCTACTCAATATGATTTAATAAACGAGTAACTGATTAGTAAGGAGAGCAATTCCTGTCTTACTGAGGAGGAAACTGAGGCATAACAGATTGCGGGGTTGGCTCACAGCCCCACACCCACTAGGCTGTGGAATGGTGTGCTCACACCCAGATGTCCCCACTATGTTGCAGCCACCTGGACGTGGGTGGGGACAGGCAGGTACTTCCCGAGCTGAGGAGCCAGGAGGGAGCTCAGACCCGTGAAGCTTTGGCTGCAGACAGCAGGGAGGGGACGTGTGACAGAGGCGGTCAGCGCCCCACGCACGTGTCCTCCTCTGGGGCACACGGCTGGACCGCAGTCTCAGCCCTGCTGTGCTCGAGTGGGGCCTGGGACTGGCTCTCTTCTCAGCGGAGTGTGAACACAAGACAAGTGGGTCAGCTCTGCGCTGGCGCATCTGGGGGCTGGCGCGGCTCCTCCACTGCCTCGTAACAAGACGTAGAGGACCCCTGAGAGGACTGGAGGTCCCGCGGGGAGGCAGAGCCCCTAGACAGGAAGAGGCTCGGCCGGAATCATCCGGAGGAGGGCCGCCCCAAAAGCACTGATTGGACGGCGGCGACGTGAGCGAGAAATGAAGTTGATCGTGATTAAAGACTAGGCTGTCGAGATGTAGGGATCTGTCAGCCCACCCACACGGGGAGCCTGGGGAAGGCAGACCCCTGCCTCACACCCAAACTGAGGGGCCACGATGAGACAGGGCACCCCACAGCCTGGAGGGCAAGCGGGGAACCAGTGAGGCAGCCCAGAGGTGGCAGCCATCCAGGTGGGTGAACACAGGGAGGGCTGGCAGGGCAGAGCGCCCAGAGAGGGTGTGGAAGCTCCGTGCCCCTTCCACACGCCTCGTCCTACGCATCTCTTCCATTTGGTTGTTCCTTTATAGGAACCCAGGAATGGTAGGTAAACAGCTTTCCTGAGTTCTGTGAGCCGTTCTAGCAAATTCTCAAATGCAAACAAGGCATAGTGGGAAGCCTGATTTATAGCCAGTTGGTCAGGAGTCCAGGAGGCTGGGACTGGTGCTGGCATCTGAAGTCGGGGACAGTCTCCCTCAACGTGCTGGGTCTGCGTTATCTCCAACAGTTAGTGTCAGAACTGGATTGACTGGAAGGACACCCCGGTGGTGTCCCGAGACTTGGCTGGTATGAGGAGAAACCCCACACACTTGGGGTCAGAGTATCATGAGTAGAAATAGATCAAAGAGGTCAAAGAATCAGGGCTCCGCCAACGAGAAACGAGGACTGGCTCTCGTAGGATCTGGGTGTCCCCGTCTCCATCTTTCCCGTCTCCCCATCCCACTGATTCTAACACTCATGTCGGCTTGTCTCTCCTTAGCTTCATTCGGAACTCTGTAAAGCAAAAAAATGAAATGATCTTGGGGCTTTCTTCCAACTGTAACATTCTTGAATTCGTTCTGAGCCAAGTGAAGTACCAGGCGCCAGCCAATGTGGGTCCCAACAGCCAGCAGTTTGAGTTTGGCTGGGCATGTGACCCCTCTCTCTCTCCTGACTCTTAACCTCACCCCATTCCCCAACAGTCATGTAGCGATCCATTTTGCCCCAGAAATAAGTAGCTAGAACCAAGAGGGAAGACATGGGGTACAGGGACCCTTCTTCTCAGCCTGGGCACATTCCTTCCTCTTCTGCGGGGTCAGCCAGGTGCCTCGGCTCCACCCACTCTTCCCCTACTGAGACGATGCTAACAGCTCTGAGAAGGAGTCATGTCACCTGAGTCCTCCGCAGGGAGGGACAGCTGGACTCAAGAACGTGTGGGAACCATCCCATTCAAGGAAAGGAGCATGACGGATGATGAAGGGGGTGGAGTGTACAAATGCAGACTCAGGGACCTATGGGCTCAAAGTGTGGCCTGGGGCCAAGCTGGCCTTTCTTGTGTTAAGCATCCCAGCCTTTGGATGAAGAAGGCTGACTCCCCTGGATCCACATTCCTGCTGTCTTCCTCTAGCTGTGCGACCACGGGGAAGAGACCCAACCTCTCTGAACCTCCACTTTCTTCATCTGTAAACAGGGGATTATAATAGTTCCTCCCTCACAGGGTCTTTGTAAGAATTAAATGAGGGAATGCATGGGGCATGGAGTACACCCTGACTGCCATGAACATATCCTATAACAAAGATGATCGGCGTTACGCTCTGTGCCTCGCATGGTGCCTAACACTTGCACAGTTTTAGTGAATATTTGAGAAAGGGAGGCCAGAAGGAAAGAAAGAAGAAGGGAGGGAGGTGATGGAGGATGGGAAGAAAGGAAGGAGGTGGGTGCTAAGAGGCTCCGACCATGGCTGTGAATAATTAACGCATCAGATCTGTGCAAGTGTGTTCTGGGGTTGGGTAGAGTCTTGCAGTCTGATCAAAATGCCCTGCATGATCCCACTATGCCCACCCCAACCCTATTGAGAAGCCTGGCTCTCGGAGCTCCCAGTGACCCCTGGCGTAGGGAGCCTCCTGAGGCCTGGCACCAGCAGGTGCAGCTGTCCTCGTGAGGGAGCCAAGGGGATACGCAGCCTCCCTGGACCTCGCCGTGCCTGCCGATGGCCACCCGCTGCATGCCAACAGCTTTCCCCCACAATCCACACGTATTCAACGTGAGAGGAGAGGAAGGGCCTGTTTATGTCATTGCATGACCTCAGGGAAGACACTGAACTTCTCAGAGCCTCAGTTTCCTCATCTGTAAAATGGGAGGGTCAACAGCTCCCCCGCCCCACCCCCACCTCCCCCCGCCCCGACCTCACAGGCATGGGAGTTCTAGCCCCAGAACAACGTGCTAGATGAGTTATCCTTAGCATCGCCTCCAGCACTCTCTTTGGACCAAGCATTTCCCGGTGCCCTGCAAATGCAAACTAGCAGAGTTGGTTTCTTTCCCGTTTTGCAGACAGCTGGGGGTGGGAGCGAGGTTGTGCCAGCGGGGAGCGTGGTCCAGGTCTAACTCAGTCTGGCCGCAGGTAGAACCTCCTTTAAACAGCCCCAGACGCCCTAGCCCCACCCCCGGAAACCCTGATTGGATTGATGGGCGCAGTGGGTGGGGCCTAGCTACTTTTTAATGTCCACAAGCGGTTCCTTATGAGAACTCCTGCGCTCCCCAACAAAGTGGACGTGAATAAACCAAAGGAAGAGAATAAACTAAAAATCAGTCTGCAGAGGGATGCACGGCCCCACCTAGAGCGCAAGGGCCTGGTAACTAAGAGAAGGAAACAGTTATGAATCTTGTTAATAGCTTACACTTATGAAACACGGATTACACGTTGAGCGCTATGCTAAGTTCGTGACAGCCTTTATCCCACTGAGCCCTCCTCACATCAGCCCTATGAAATGGGCACTATCTCCCCATCGACAGCGAGGGAAGGAGCAGGACTTCTCATTCCACACTATTGATGGTGGGACCAGCAGCCAAGCCCAGCTCTGCTTGACTCTGGGGCCAAGCTTCAGTCCACCAACCAGTGCTAGAGAAAGCGTCCTGGACCGCACCCCTGTCTCACACTCCTGTTTTACTTTGGGCGAGTCCCTGCCCTCTCTGGGCCTGTTTCCTCACCTGGAAAATGAGGTCACCAGGGTGCCAGCTCTGTCATTCATGGACCTACAATCCTGTGACGTCCTCTTGCTGAAATCCACCGCCCCTTTTTCTTCTCTGTTCAACTTCCTTAACCCAAAATGTATTTGAAATCGGTAACTAGCCTGGAGACCTCCTCTTAAGAGAGGTTATTACAAGATTGTGGCCTCTCCATGATGAACCCAAGGGGAATTGTTGGGCAGAATCACTTTGGAAATCCTGGCATGAAGTGACTATGTTTGATGGACACATCTACCATAGGCCAGGAGCCCGGTCCCTGGTCCTAAAAGGCCATGTCTCACGCGACCCCTGGGATTGATAATTCCAAAAGTTTGTTCTGGAGCGTTATGAGCCTCTTAGCTAAGAAGGAACACAGCAGTTTGTTATCTACCCTCCTGGAGATTCACAGTGCATGTCAGCCACGGTGGAGGGGTTGATAAGTCCTAAAAGGTAAAGAAATCTAGGCACCTTTGTTTCACTCAGACTTTTCTCAAGGTTCCTTGACCACAGAACCCTTTTATTGAATACCTAAAGTGAATACTTAAAACGGGGCGTGCTAGTCCCTGCCAAAGCTACATCCCATCTTCTTGAACCCCCAGATCAATGCTTCCTTGAGATCCAGAAGATGGGCTAGGGGTGAACCAAGTGCAGGAGGAGGGTTAATGTTAGCCATCAATCCCCAGACGCACCATTTCCTGCCCCACCGGGGATGCTAATGAGCGGAAAGCACTGCAATTGACAAGGTGGCTGGCCTGGGGCTGCTGGAGGCACTGGCAGCCGGCAGCCAGGTGGGCCCGGCTGGGTGACTGTAACGCCACCATGGGACCTTGCACCTTGTCATTTTAAGGATGGCTCTGTACCCTTCAGACTGTCTGTGGGGTGGGGGGATTAATTCACTCGCACATTGTGAAAGGACCACATTAGAGATGGGAAGAAAGACAGGATGATCTGACTCAACCTGTCACATGCTTTCCAAGGCGGGACGGGTTAGGGGACAGTCACTGCCACCCATTACTTCACCCAGCAAAGCTCCATTAGGCTCTCACTCTGTGCAGGCTCCGAAGATAAGGCAGGGATGAATTAGCTTCAACCACTGCCTTCCAGGGGCTCACGGCTTATGTGGAGGCTGACATGCAAACAACTATGACACCAGACAACTGTTAACAGGAGTATGGACAAGGGCTCAAAGGAGCCTGCAGACAGGAGAACTTGATCTGCTTCTTCCCAATGCAACACGCGTGTACCGAGCATCCTCTGTGTCCCAGATGCTGTCCTGGGCACCCAGGGAATAGACAAGAAAGATGGTCCCTGTCCAAAAGACACTTTTGGCCTCTAGGATGCTTAAATGCCCAAACCCCTCCTCCCACAGAGTAAAACATTTCCTCCTCTAAACTTTGGAATTCCTCTCCATGGTGCCTATGGCACCATCATGCATTTGTTAGAAAGCTTG